GTCTCCAGAAAAGATATATCAAAAAAGCAACAAAACAACAAGAAGAAATTTCTAGACTTCATATAGCAGCCATAGCATATACAGAATGATAACTAGGAAAAACTGAAGTTGCCATAATGAAACTTGATATACGAAGCCTTAACCTAGCCAATTCTCAACTCGTTGTCTACTTCCTGATGCTGATATCTTAATGACTCATGAGCAAGAACAGTTGTACAAGTTATTCGAGACTTTCCAGAGAATTGATAATTATCGATTGCCATGCTCGACTTTACACTTGAATACGATCATATCAAGGAGTTCTTGTAACGATATAGAAAGCCGTTTAAATGCCGAAAAAGAAAAAATTTCGCTTAATTATATTATTTCGATAATAAATTGATAATTTAAAACTCTCAGAATTTAAGTTAACAAATTAATTTAATAAATTTTGCAAAAGTGTAATATGCATTTTTAAAATAGATGTGATATTTATGAAGCAAAATCGATAAGCGATATATTTCGATTTAAATTTGCAAACCATATGGCGGGCAATTCAATGGATCTTACTGAAAAGTAAGCTCAAGCATGGCAGTCTGGCACACTCTTGCTAATGCTAAAGCAATTCTTGAGCTTTGAGCAAAAAACTTAAGGAATTTAAGTCCAAATCGAGGCACCTGTTGTTCCCAAGCCTGCCCACCTGCCCACACACACAGCTGACCAGCTGCCCAGCTGCCCACCTGTGCGAGTGTGGCAAATTGATTGCCAAGGGCGTTGTTAAACAAAATAAATACAACAAATTGATTGTTTCAGCCAACTGATATGCATATCTAAAGCCGCTCAAGTTGTCTTGTCTTGTCACTTGACTCGGTTCGATTGAGCGAGCGAAAACACAAACAAACAAACAAAATATATATGTATAAAACGGCAAAAAACGGTACAAATACAATATTGAAAAAGATTTATTAAGTTCGCACATTCGAAAAGCACTTGAGGCTGACAATTAAAAAGCACTCGGCATCAGATTTAGACGATGACGGTAACTGCCCTGACAATGGCAACGCGGGCTACGAGGGGCATTGAAAGCTAAAGATTTGCCATTTTGTGTTGGCAGCAAATCGAAATAATGATATCGACTGCACGATACTCTGTCAACTGTTGGACGTTCTTGTTGTTCAGTTTCAAGCTAATAAGACTTAAAGACAAATACTCGGCCTACTACAAGCAGCAAGAAATAAATATATATAACTTAAAATCTCATATATAATGTGTTATCGATAAAAATATTTTTTATCGATATCAAGTGAATTTTCAAAGAATTTGCCAATTTGTTAGCTAAAATAACTTACAAAATATGTGATCACACTACACAATTATTAAATTGTTAAAATTACTTAAGAATGCCATATCGATAAATATTATCGACAAGTGTTTAAGCGTTCTATGTGAGGCAACAGTGCATCCTAGCTGATTTCTATTGTTTGGTTTGGCTTGAAAAAAATTAAATAAGATAAATATGTAGAAAGTATCTATATACATGTTATCGATTATTTTATAATCGAAAAAATGCATAAGTTGTTAAAATTGTTAGTTAAACAAATATTTAGATAATTTTTTTAGCTTTATGCAACTCACACAAAGATCATGTTATCGATTTGAAACTATTGATTATAATATTGCAATCGATTTTTGACTATAGCATTACCTGCAAGTTCTGTAACTATTTTAACAATGAAATGACGATCGATAAATGTTATCGATTATTGATTCTTACATATGTGGATTATAAGCAAACGTTATGCCCACTCTAAACGCTTGACTACAGGGTATCAATAAGTTATAGGCGCCACAGAACGTGCGTGTGTCTGCGTATGCGAGTGTTTAAAACATTAGCGATGTCAGGTTGTTCGGGTTGCTCGGACTGTTTGGGTTGGCTCGGCGCTTTTATTGTTGCTGTTGTTGTGGGCTTTGGTTTTGTCAGCGCCTTGATTACTTGTTCGCCTGCACTCGCCTAATGGTGGCAACAAATTGTCTGCTTAATTGTGAGAAACCCAGCAACAGCAACAATAGCAAACTGAAATTGTATCCGAAATTGAATCCCAATCGCTGTCTGAATTGTATCTGATATATATATATATATATATATATATATATATATATATATATATATATATATATATATATATATAAATATATATATGTGTTATATCTTCTAAACGTATCTGTAACTGAATGTGAGCTCAAGCGCAACAGTAAATAAATGAATTGAAAGAATAACGTAAATTTGCAGCTTGTCGAAGAGTCCACACACTGTCTAGCAATAAGATATGCTTAACTGATCTTGAAATAAAATATTTGCATAGACAGAAATTGGAAAAGTTGAAGTTGAAAGTTGCCAAACTCTTTTGTGAGAGTTTGCTGTAAGCTGAGTCCTAGCAATTCTTGATGTTTTTTTAGAGATTACAGTCTAGGAGGAGCAAAAGCTGTAGCTTCTTATAGTTTATAGTTAGTTTCTTAATTTTAACTGAATGGCCAGCCATCTTTGTAGCTATTAGCCCTCGTCCTATGCCAGATGCTAGCTGAACAGCTGATGACGTTCACGTAAAGACTTAACTTGTCTTTATTTAACAAACAAGTTTTTATAATATAGAGAAGACATATATCAAGGCTCCAAAGTAATTTGTAGTCGAATCAGTTAAAAGTTGAGGCAGAATTGAATTAGAGATTTATATAAGAATTTATAATTAATATAATGCAATTCACAGCCTAGATTCTAGATCAGATGTCTGCCCACGGGTTTTTTTTCTAACAAAGAGGTCTGTCCAAAAAGTATCGCAAATTTTGCTTTACTTTTTTTTTAATTATTTAATTATGACTGATATATATATATACATATTATAGACTTGTGCCACAGTTTTGTAACAACTCAAAGCCCTTCAAGAAATCAATTGTTGTCAACTGCTTCTTTGATGCTGTCAATATCTTTACAATCCTAATATAGCTTTGTTCTTTCAGCAGCCTCTTCAAGGAATAATCACAGAGCACCAGATCTAGGCGTTAGTTGGTTTTGATAAAGAATTTTATACATATTGCGTACTCCATTTTAGGAACAGGCGACTCACAGCAAAACAGCTGTCAAAAATTTTTAATTTTAAATTTTATTGTGAGAATTGTTAAGCTTTCTCACAATCAAATTTAACATTGACCACGCAAATCGCAGAATTTGAAAATTTTTTTGAATTTGCCTAATAATTTATACGAATTATAGCATTTAATCAATTACCATTTTCACGGCAGTTTCAAAGTTTCAAAGCAGCTTGTTTCACTCGGAAGCTGCGACTTGTTTGATTCAAGCAAATCCCTTGCTCCGCATCGTTTCAGCCAACACATATACCCCAAGCTAAGTGTATGTGAAAGAAATAAATGCGCAGGCGCAGCTGGTATTGTCAGGCGTACTCGCATTATCATTATATGGTAGATGCGGTGTATTTGATACATGTGTTTTATGGTTTCAGCTCGTCATTGTTATTATTAATCTCTGTTCATTGTTGATTGTGTTTAATGTGTGTGTTTTGCATTAAAAACATTTCATTAAATTGTATTTGGTATAACTGCTTGCCGCTGTCAGTGTGTGTGGGCATACACACTTGTTAAATGCTTCTCAAATTGAGATTGAGCTAAAAATTTAACTTTTCTTTCGTTTTGTTTGTGAATTTATTTCAAATGCCATTTGAATGCGCTCGAAATTTAGTTCTTGACACGATTGAAACGGTTAAAAGAAAGTCGCCAGCAATCAGTGCTTGGCAGTTGCGCCTGTAGATAGCCAGTTGATATAGAAAACGAGCAACAGTTGCTGCTGCTGCCACAGGAACAATCAGATCAATTGTCAACAGCGCGAAAGAAACAATTTTGGCCACAAAATGTTGCACAAATTAAAATTGAACACAATAATCAGCGCAACAAGTTGTTGTTGCTGTTGCACTTGTCGCTTCTTCGGCTTTCAGTCTGTTGCCTGTCGTCAGGCTCGTATGCTGGGGCTGCCAGACACCAAATTTAGCCAACTGCCTGCAGCAGCTATAAAAACAACAACTCGCAACAACAAACAGCAACAGCAGCGGCAGCAGCAGCAACCGCCTGTTGCACATGGCTTGAGCAAATGACTTTATTATAGGTTTTTAAATTTATAAACGCAACATTTACCATGCTAAACACTTCAAATTCCAGCTGGCTCGACAGACTGCCTGCAACAACAACATCAGCAACAATAGCAACATTTCGCAATTCTTTTGAGTTGTTGCCACATGCGTGATGCATGTCTCTGTGTGTGGCACGTAAATACATTTTTTCGACTCAGAAGCAATTTAGATTTCAACAAGTATTACAGGGTATCAAGCGATTTAAACATAATTATATTATGCCTGTCTATATTGCTCATTATTTACCCTATAAAAGCAGACAGTAGAAAGCTTATTCAACTCTATAAGAACTGAATGAGCAGCACTCATATATGATGAAATGTAGAAAGATCGATAGATAGTTTTATCACTTCATGAAAAAGATTCATCATTTAGATTCATCAGATAGTTACATATAGCTTTATCATAAAGTTAAATCAATTAAATTTATCAAACAACTTCATAAGGGAGTTTCATCAAACAATTTCATTAGGTAGTTCATTAAACAATTTTGTCAGACAGAGAATTTCATCAGACGAATTTTCAAATTCATAAAACATTCATCAGATAATTTTATATTTATTTCATCAATTTTTTTCAGTTGGGGCTCATTGGCATTGAACTCAATGTTTCATCAGGTGGTTTCAGATTTTCATCAGTCAGATTCAGCAAAAACATTCTTCAGATAGTTTCATTAGACAGTATCTTCAACAAACATCAGTTCAGAGAGTTCCATCAGATAGTTTCACAACCATTTTCATGATCATGATCATTTTTGCATACAGTATCATCAGACAGTTACCTCAGATAATTTCATTTCTGATGTTCTTAATGTGGACAAATATATTTTTTGTTCTAAAATTCCCCCAGTGGATTTTTTTATTATCTTTGTTAATGCTAGTCAACTTCATAACTTCATAATACAAACTTATAACAAATTGAGAACAATTCTCTGATGGCCAAATAGCAAAAGGAAAATGCGATTAAAAATTTGCGAACTAAACCGAAAGCAAATCAAATATATATATAAATATATATATATATATACATATATATTGATAGGGACATTTTGAACGATGTTAGTTTTCCGACTCATTAAGGGAGCTCGAAGGAGCTGATGATTCCGTCTGTTGAGTAGTATTATCGTCAGACTCTGTCTCAGTGGTTGTAGTAGATCCAATTGAAGATAAAACAGTTTGCGGCCATCCGACGACAACATCAACAATATCTGATCCGGAATAGGTACCTTTCTCGCATTGACTCAAAAACTGACGAACGAAGAACATGGTGTATCTAGTTGGGAACATACAATTGGTATTTGGAACGCTGGGCGGAGCACGCGGACGCCGCATCTGTTGCAAACATCTCGTTGAACGGACGCTCACTGTGCGAGCGCCAGGCGGTTTTACATCACGTCCGCTAACGGCGGCCGTTAGCATGTTGAGCTCCTCCAGAGCAGCAGTAGCCGTATTTTCGACCACGGGCTTAGGTGCGGATCTCTGGAATGGCATAACAGTTATCTACACCCTTTTCTAAATCAACGTTACTTTACCTGCTTGGTGGCCATGGGCGTAATGCGATTTTGATTGCGATTTTGATTTCGATTACGATAACGCTTCGCAGCACTCGATTGGGCCCGCCCGTTACGGCGTTCCGGGGAGGTTGCTAGTCCGGCGAGTATAGCACCTTCAGTTGAATTAAGGCGTGTGATACGGCGAATAGGGCGATCACTGTCGACGCGACGCGTGCCACCTGCTGCATTGCCAGCCCCAGCACGGGTGCCAGCGGCAGCAGCAGAGCTATCAAAAAGATCGGCACCGCCATCATTCAGATCTACATTTATTTCGCGACCGCTACGTAATTTCATTTTAACTTACGTCAAATATATATATATATACAAAAAAAATATAGTTACATATATATATATATTTCAGTAACTAATATTTAGAATAAAAATTTTAGTACATTTATTTTTGCCTTGAGTTAACTTTTGTTATGTTTACTGCTTGAGCTAGTTGTGTATACTGAAAATAAATGTTAGGCTATACGAGCCTTTCGACAATGCCACGCCAACTTTGTACAAATTTAAGTTCATTCAAAATTCGAGAAGTGAAACAATTGTATAACAATAGCAATCAAAACAGTTAGCCATATTTGTGATCTACTGAAACTGAAGCCGAAACCAGAATAAATCGATCTATAAGGGCTATCTGAAACCAGCTCAGCTGTTGAGTATATCTATTAGACCAATGCTTTTTGCACTCCAAATATGTTATATAGTTGAGTTTTCCAAACATAAAAGTGCTTAGGTAAGCCTTCTATCGAGTAGTAATTTCCTTTAGCCCTTTTCCTTTTCAGTTTGGTCATTTCACTTCTCATATATTGATCGAGGAATAGATCTATAGAATACAAGCTAAGAGCTAGTTCTCAAAGAAGTATAGCAATGCAAAGAAGTATAACCATGAGTCCGTGTACTTTATCTCTATATAATATCTACCCATCTTAACTATGGTAAGCCTCAGATCTAAGATCTGATATGAAATTATTTTCAGTAAGCTGAGATTACTCATACAAAAGCCTAAGAAACATAGCAAGGAGTAAGGATCAAATCAAATGAAATCTTATAAGTCGCAAGTTGTTTAAGCTAAGTTCGAATGAAGTGAAATATTTATTTATTATTCGATTGCATTGAAACCGCATTTGTATGCAATCAGCACAATTGATGCGTTAAGCCTTTTTATTTACTTTTATTATTTTGGTAGCTCTCGTTAAGCCCATTTTAAGCTTTGTGGAGGCGAAGACAGCTCAACCGTTTAACAAAACAGCGTTTAGAGCTCATCAGCTTACGGCCCACTGTCAACGTATGCCACCCAGCAAGCGTTGCATTGATCTCAGCTAAATACAATCCTTGGGCGTGATAATGCTGATCGTGTATATACATAAATACGACGTGCCTACGCATAGGCAATTCGGATATTGGAACGTGGGCCCCCTGGTGCTTTTGTTTGTTTCGTTCTTTCGACTCCGAAAATCCCAGTTCAATTGATCGAGCGCTAAGCTCGTATGGCATGCACATAATTTGTAGCCTTAGCTCATTATCGAATGCAGCATACAGGGTGTGGGCTAGCCGGGATGAATAATGATAATGGGTATGGAAGCTGCTGCAACAACAACAAAATCGATGTCTGAAAGTTCGGAAGTCAAATGAGTTTTGCCACTTGTTGTCGGTTGTTGTTTGCTTTTACGACTTGTCACCGGTTTGGTCCAACTGCCTCGTTATATATCTTCCTCTTCCTCTTCGACTTCTTATTGTTTATTGTTGTTGGTAGTCTTGCTGTGGATGCGCTATCAATTCGCATCATAGTTCATAACTTGGCTTCTTTATCGGAAACAATAAAACGTCACAAAAATGCTTTGACGACTATTTACAGCTGGCTTTGGCTTTTGAAAGAGTCTTCTTCTTGTCTTCCTCATACTTTCGTTGTGGGTTCTAGTTTAAATTTTGTGTTTTCTGTCGTTAACTGCGGCTTCCGCCTAATGCCGCTGTGGCTTACCACAATTGTGGTTATTCCCACACGAACATCACATTTCTACGATCGATTGACAAAGCTTAAATACACTTTCGCAATTTGAGTTCCCTTAGAGTCTAACAAGTTGCTGTCAAAATTTGACTTTCAGTTAGAGTGTGTGTCAGCATAAAATCATGCCATAATCAAGTCAGTTAAAAGTGTATATATTAAGCTTTATATAATCTACCATGGCAGCGTTGCCACCTAGTTGTACATTACACATCTGGCAACGCCGCTTCTAAAACAATTTGCAATTCGTTTGCTTATTCAGCCGTCACTTCACACTCTAATCATTAAATATTTAACTAACAGCGTTGCCACCTTGCTAATAACATTGTTTATATAGACGCTTACATTCTGGATTGTTACCAGCTATAGCTATAGGCTGATATGATCTCTAGAATTTATGCAACGTCAAATTGAAAAAGAGCATTTTCAGGTTGCCTTTTTAACTGAAGTTTGCAGCGTTGCCACATATTAATACACATTATCATAACTAAAGGACATTTCAGCTAATATTGCTAAGCATATAATCAACGCTAAATTAAAGGAAACTTTTTTTTTCTGACAACTAAAATTTATATTTCACAACTTTGCTCAGTTCTAATCAAAATTATTCATAAATATGACAGCTTCTACTACGTTGACGTTAGCTTTAACATGAACTTTAGCTAGCAGCATTTCATATACGTATTTCGATAGCATCAGCTGAGGGGTCGCTGGGCACTCATAATGTTTGCAAAGCTCACATAAATTCTGTACGCTTGGACTGCCAGCGAGTGTATTAAGAGATATTTTCAAAGTTCCTAACGCGAAGCGCATTAACTTTGTAGCGCACTTGCTTTTATTTCTCTTCTTCTTTGGCTCTGTCTCAAACTAAATTTATGCGAAATTCTCGTGCTTCTCATGGCTGATGACGGTTGCTTATACTTATATATATATATATATATATATATATGGCATACATATGCATTAGTGTTGTTAAATGGGCAGTTAGTTCATCGTCTGCTGCGATAGTTTTGCGTGCCAGGGCTGTGCGGCTCTCACAATTTGGGTGAGGGTCAATGGGGAAGGTTTGCCCAAAGGGGCGGGCACCGACTGGCGTTCTTGTTGTTGTTGTTGTTATTGCCATTCAACTCGTACATAAAGTCTGTCATTAGAGCATAACTGAAGAACGCCTGGCTGCAAATTAAGCTCTAAATTGCACGAAACTAAATAATATTTTGCAATTCATATTTTCTAAAATCTAAAACTAAATATAAATATTTCCATATATATACGAGCAATTCTCCATAACTTGAACAGACAGAAGCATTCTTGGTTTAAGACAAGTCTTGGCGATTATATGGCTATACAAGTATTTTCCCATAACTTGAATGAGACTTAAGATTCTTAGTTTAAGTAGAGTCCATAAACAAAATTGATTAATTCTTCTTCTTAAAATTGAGTACTTCCTGAGCTCTGAAAGAGATCTACCTGGTTAGACTATAGCAGAGACATTTCCCTATAACTTGAACCAAAATTAAAATTCTTGGAGTCCACAACAAAATTGATTAGGTCTAGCTGCAGTGCTTCCTGAATTCTTACAGAACTTTCCCGCGTTATATTAAGTATTTCCCCATAACTAGAATAAAAGTTTAGATTCCTAGTTTAAATAGAGTTCATAAACAACATTTTTTTATTTGTAGCTTCAATAGCTCCTGAGTTCTTAGAGAACTTTACCTATTTATATAGCCAAGGAAAAATCAATTTGAACTAGCAAATATTTCATGTCGAACTATAGCAATCCTTGAGTCTCAATGAGCTAAATTTGGTTACATTTGAGTTTCGTTTCACTTCGGTATGCTACATATGTTTAAGATATCAAAATGTCGTAGTTACATTGGGAGGTTTGCTAAAAGCATTTCTAAAGCACAATTTTGGAAAATTCGTTGCATTCTGCAGCCTCCCAACGCGAACTTGAGCCAATACGCTCGATCAACATTCCATGTGTTCATATGGTAGCACTAATTGGCAATGCTGCCACTAACTGTACCCATATCATTGGCCGTACTCACGGGTTTCTTGGGGTTTGTTGCCGGCGCCGTTTTGCAGCAGGATAGCTCGTATCGTAATCTACAATCAACAATGGAAAATGATCCATATATCTTTCAACGTCGTCAGCAGATTTTTCAGGCAGTAAGTACTAGATTCAAACTATATTCGAATACTCGATACTCTCGATACTTCTAATCGATCATGATTGGTATGCTTAGCTAAGACTTGTGGTTCAACGTCGCCAATCGTTCAACGAGTCCGGCGAAGTCACCGAGCTAACATCAGTTGACAGACCTATCGGAGACTCTGTGGCGCAGGTTACACCGAGAGAGTCCGAGGTATCAGATTCGGTATTTGCCAACTATGTTAAATGGTTTCAAATCAACATGAACGCCGTGGTAAGCTGTCGAGTGTAGACCATCGATGTAGAGTCCATCGATGATGACGATTCTCGTCATATGATAACATTAACAGTCCTTTCAACTGCCTCTAGACCATGTTCTTCACCTTCTCGCTGGGCAGCGAAACGGTGTCCGAGCCTGAACCCCTCCATGTGGCCAGCCTAATGAAATATGGCTTTCCCGGTCTGGATGATATACATGTTTATCGTAACTTTGTGCTCTCTTATGATAGACGAAATCGAATCGCGCACTGGGTATGCGAGCATATAGAGCGCGAAGACGTGAGCCAATACGCATTAGATTGTACTAAGATTGTACAAGCGGAATATCTAGTTGATTCGCAAATTCCGCTTATATTCCGTGCCAGCCAGCGAGATTATAAGAATACCGATTGGGTAGGCGGACATATGGCATCGCCGCAAAACTATTGCTCCGATCAATTGAAATATCTTGAGACGTTCATAATGCCAAATATAGCGCCAGTCTGTAAAGGACTCCAATCGAACATATGGACACGTCTCGAGGCGTACGTACGCGAATTAGCTATCAAATGCGGCTCGGTATATGTCTATACGGGTCCGCTCTTTATGCCCCAGCGCATCACATTCCGTAATTGGGCAATCAGACATCAGGTAATTGGCATGAATACGGTGGCTGTGCCAACGCACTTCTTCAAGGTGATAATAGCCGAATGCAAGGATAACGAATATCTACCCTATATGGAGGGCTATGTTGTGCCGAATACCGAGGTCGAAGACAATCTAGATTTAAGCGCATTCATGTCCAATATCCGTGACATCGAGCACTTTGCCGGACTGAAGTTCTACGACGGCGAAAGGCGGCCGCAACTGCATCACAATGATGCAACTGCACGACAAGCGGAATGAGACAGCCAAATCTGTTATGTACTGCAAAGTCGCTCTTATTGAGCATCAATATGCTTGGGAGGCTGCTGCGCATAATTCCAATTCAACACAGAACCGTTACAATAATTGAATGTTTTAAATCTATGGTACGAACAGTTCAAATAGTACTCTCTCACTGTTCCGAGCATTGCAGGACTCTGTTTACCAATAAATTAAGTGTATTTATCAAAAGCCATATCAAGACTGAATTCGCGCAAGACGCATTTTTTTCACTCCCATAAGAACTACAACTTCAAGTTTGAGGATGGCCAGACACTGCATACGAATCCATAAAATGCTTTTTACAACAATAAACAAAGTTCTGTAACTATGTCTCACATTTTGTTCTTTATTACTGTAGTCCGATTCGACTGTTCATTTATTGTTCACTGAGACTACGATTTTTCACTCTGCTCTGCTTAGCTTGATCTAAGAAAAAATTGTGACTGCGTTTTTTTCCTTATATTTATTTAATCTAAATTTCTAAATAAAAATACGTTATCCAAGGAACATCAAAATTCACTAAAGTTTTTGAGCAAGCCCCGCCGTAGTTTCTAGTCTTATCTAACATTAATTTCTGCTCTACTCAAATTGGAACTTGAGCTTGCCTTCGCAATAGAAATTCCCTTTCAATGCCTAAGCTAAAATTTAAGATTTGTTTCAAGTTTTCTCTACAAGACGTTACTGATTTTTTTATTGGTTTTATTTTGTTTTCATTTTTTTTAGCTTAATTTAGATTTGTTGCTGTTTGCTTTGTTTACTTTTTGCTGGAGAAGAATCTAGAGAAATAGCTCCGATTCTGACTTCCTTTCTCTTTCTCTCTTTTTGTGTATCTATCTCCATCTCTCTCTCTCTCACGCTCTCGCTCTCGCTCTGAGCACTTAGCCAAAATCTGTGCATGTTTAATTTTCATTATAATTCAACTTTATTTTTTTTTCGTTTTGTTTTTTTTCACTGACTTTTTTGTTGCTGCGTTCATGTAATTAAAGTATCATTCACACCGTGTGTTCGCACAAAACTAACGGCATTTTGCTAAAATAAAAATAAAAAAACAGGTGAGAGCAAGCGAGTGAGCTATAGAAAAAGAGCAAGAGAGAGAGAGAGAGAGAGTCAGAGGAGCAGGGGGCAGATTGAGTAGCGCAATAACAAAACACAGCACAAAAAAAAGAACGAAAAAAATTTGTCGTTCGTTGCTTCCGCCGTGCGACAGAACCCAACAAACCAACAAAAGCGGCCCGACTCAATGACTCAACTTCAGATTGTAGCCACCCCCCTTCACCCCTCCCCCATACATTTAACGAAGCACTCTATTCTGCTTTTTGCCTTGCCCCGTACTCATATCAGGCCCTGGCCTGTCCACGCTTGACAATTCTTTTAGTCTTTGACCTTTTCGGGGCATAATTGTGCGTGTGTATATGTGTGTATGTACCTGTTGTAGTTTTGTCGTGCTGGACAATTAACATGAACTTTTAGCTTTGCTTAATTACTTGAAGTAGTCGTCGCAGTTCTTAAAATGACGCAAAAAAAGGTCGAAACGAAAAAGAAAAAAAAAACGATCCAGCTTGAGGTTAATTACATTTTGAAGAGCAACAACAGCAAGCAAAGCAAATTGAAATGCTGCTGTTGTTGTTGCTGCTGCTGCTTTTGCTAGCAACAGTCGCTGCAGTTGGTTAATGGCACAGACATCAAGCGGCAACAGCCCGTGTGACAATTATGTAAATGGACAAACGCACTTGGCAGCACTTCGAGTTGTGTGCGTGTTGTGTGTGAAAATTGTTGTTGTTGTTGTTGTTGTTGAAATAAGTGAATTTTGTTTGCTGAAGGTCACACACACAGAGCCAGCTAGCGAGTTACCGTTAAGTGCTGCTTTTTGGGGGTCAATTGCAGCTAGTTTGTGTCTTAAGTCATTTGTTTTGCTATATGAAGCTGTTAGCACAAAAGATGTACAATAAAGGGGCATAGACACGGAAAACAAAAAGGTGTATTGCGGAAGGTAGATTATGCACGACAAATTGTGCTTTATGTCTGTGTGTATCTTTTGTATAGTTAGCTAATATCTCTAATTGTACAGAGAGGCTGGTCCAACATCTGAAGTTAAACAATTTTTTAGGGAAGCTATAGAAACGCTGTGCATAATAAGCGAAGTAGAGGCTCGACAGCTATGCTAAAATATAAGCGATTTCATTTGTGGTTAGCCTAGATTTTAAATTAAATAAAAGTTTGGGAAAACAAATTTTGTTAAATTTCTTAGATGAATCAATTTTCAAAAATTAATTATTGAAAATTGAGAATCATAAAACCTCGCTGGAATAATCTTCAATTTATATAGGGTATACGCTATGTAGCGCGAGTAATTTATTGTATTTCGATAACTCATTTCATTTGTTTATTATCAGTATCGATAAGTTGATCGATTAAATTGAGTATGACAGAAGCTGAAGGTATCAAAGGAGCGTCAAATGATTGACATAGCAGCTCTGCGATAGATTCAGGGTATCTCCTAGACGTATAGGCTCGACTAGAGTCCTTTTGCGCGCTTATTACTTTGGAAAAGTCAAAAGTAATATATAAATTATGCTGAATTGCTCACACGTTTTGAGCTTACGTTACGTTACGTCACGTGACCTTACTTTACGTCAATTTACGTTAATTAAAATCGAACAAGCTCAGCTTTCAGCATATCCTAATCTTAGTCCTTACATTAGACTTAGTCAAAGCTGACCTCTTTTTGATGCCAGGCTTTATTCATCGAGGCTTAGCCAATGCTCTCTTTATATGGCTAGAGCTACCTGTTAGCCCTGCCAGAGAGTACTTTCCACAGTCAAGAGGTGACGCTGTGCTGGAGTGCGTGTGTTGAGTCATCATCAATAATGCATGTGGCATGTGGCAAGCAGCATATGGGGAGGCTGCGTCTGTGACTGTGACTCTGACTCTGACTGTGCCTGTGGCTTTCGATTGAAGTCTGTACGATATCTAAATGCGTCGCGCTGCACGCTCGGCTCGAATGCAAATGAACCAAAATTTACACATCTCCATCGGCTCATTAGATGAAAACAGAAAAAAAAGCAAAGTAAACAAACAGCCGTTAGAAGCAAAGCGCCGAACATTTGGAATTGTTTTATTTATTTATTTATTAGTATTATTTCGTTGCGTTTCGTTTTTTTATCAGTCCGCTGCTGTTATCGCGCGTGTATATATATGTATATATATATATACATATATATATACAGATATATTCATTTGAAGTGGTGCAGCATTTAAAAGCGCATCTATCTTAGCTGCTGGACTGGCGCAGCGTTATCGAGGCACGAGTTGGCTACCGAAAATTAAAGTCCATTTATTTCTCTCACTCTCTGTCCCTCGCTCTCTGTTGATTTAGCTTGCATAGAATCGAGTTGGCTTCAACACGAAGTATGCATAAATATTTACATTAATTTTCAATTAAGTCAATTTGCATTACATTTGAGCCACTAACACACGACACCCTAAGACCAAGATGTACCGTAAGGCGGCAGCCAATTTAAATTAGTCGTTGGGAAAACAGGCATAAGACGAAACTTGAATGCTCTAAGCCAAAGCTCCACATGGTAATAGAGAGAGCGAGAGGGAGAAAGAGATATAGAGAGAGAGACAAAGTAGTTAAGCTAACTAATGTACCCCTAGCTAATGCAGTTCTCTCAAAATCAATACAATTTATCGACATGTATCTAGGATATTAAATAGGAGAAAATGAAACTGCAGCTGCGGCTGCTGCTGCTGCTGCTGCTGCTGCTGCTGCTGCTGTTGCTGTTGTTGCCATTGAGTTGATTTTGCTGAGCTGGATCAAAGCCGTTGCGATAGAAGACGACAACACGCGGCAATTAATCAACGAAATGAGTTTTATGCATTTTAAATGATCGCTCGCTGGCTCGTTGGCTCGCTTTGGAAGCCAAAAAGGCGCACCGTTAGCTGTCGCTTGACGCCGCTGGCCGCACTTGGGCAGTCAATCAACATGGATGTTAAGCCAAAATGATGGGGCGGTCGCTGCCTCCTGCAACTGAAGACGATCCGCAGACTCAAAGACTCAACGACTGAGCACCGGGAGAATGTAAGAATCGCCAAGCGTATGCAATTTTCAAATCAAATTCGCTTTCATGCCATTTGGCCGCAATATAAAAATAAAACAAAAAAAAAACTTGCAAATTGCACAATGATAGGCTAGCAAATACCCTGTGCTTGGCTCTTAGTTAGCACACTCAAACTCTAAATAAACTTGAGATTTCAAGCACTCTGGGCATATTAAAATTTTACAACTATCAGCAGGCGTGGCAGAGCCCATAAAATATATATATTATTGATTTGAAGGACAAGCTGAGCTGATCTAGTCAAGTCTGTCCGACCATCTGTCCATTACAACATATCAAGTATAAATTAATTCCTTTTTCGATAACTTATTCTAATTGTCCATGATCGATAATAATCGATAATTTGTGTTTGAAGCATTATTTGAATACTACAAAAGCTGGAAGCTTATAAAACAGCTGAGTGCTTTGGGTTATATTAAAGAAAATCTTTATTCTGATATTTTCAGCATATTGAAAAAAAAAATAATTTCTTTGCAACTATTTCTGAGAGTTTCTATGTTAAGATATATTCTTATTATTTTCTAGAATAAAGGAATATATACACATAAAGTGTTTCAGTGAATTTTTTGTACTAAAAGAATCTAATGCCTGAGCTTCAGCTCTTTAGCCACTGCATAGTAGTCACTCTCTCTCTTTCTCTCTGTCGGTCTCCAGGGTATCTTTTAAGAGCAAATTTCTTTGCGCACGGCTGCCGCACATAAATTTAATAAAAGACTACGCGGGACACACGGCAAATGTTAGCCAACTGCTTATCGTGGCTGGGGGGCACAACAACCTGGCTGGCAACGCGCATAAAAAACACACAGATGCACTTAATGTGCGCCCACCTCTTGTCAGCTGCCCCACGAGCCTGCCCTCTCCTCACCACCGCGCTTCCCTCTCGCCCAACTGGCCGAAAATCAACTAATGGGGTGTGGCATTGGCCAGTGCAAATAAATTAAAGAGCAACGCGCGAAAAATCCACAAAAAATTGCTCGATTGAGCGGGAGTCCCGAAGGAGGGAGGGGGCGGTAAGAGGGGGCGAGAACACAGTCGAGAAGTGGGTAGGTAGACTGTTGGAGGCATTTTGATTGCATTTCATTTCATGATTTGGCTTTTGTTTGCTTTGCAAATTGCGCTGAAGAAGAAGGTGAAGCAGCAGCAGCAGCAACAGCAGATTGAACGAATGGAAGGAGGCAATGATCAAGGATGAGAATGAAGCTGAGTCGAAGGATGTAGAAGATGCGCTTGAGTATAAGATGTGAGCGAAGCATGAGAAGATGCTGAAGCTTTGCTGCAAAGACTGCCAAGTAGTAGGGGCGGCAGCAGTGGAAGCAAAGTGCAAAAACCAAAAACAAATGATGAAGTTGTACTCTACCGGCTGGCTGAGGCAAACAAATCAAAGGAGGGTAACTGAGCATTGAAACAAAGGAAGCTGAGGCCAGAGAGGAGACTTTCAACTTCAGATAAGACTGCGGATGAGTGAGAGCTGGAATGGAGGCTGGCTGAACGGATGAGAAAGCATCAGAGCAGAATCAGAATGAGGCAAACTTTGTGCTTTATGATTTCTTATCTCTGCAGCTGCCCAATTGCATGTGTGTGCGTATGTGAGTGTGTGTGTGTCATTCTTTGAGCAAATAATGGCAACAATTACCAAAAGGCAGCAGGCTGAGCCAACGGCCAACAGCCAACTGATTGCATTGCGATGATTATGCAATTTAGCAGCTTGTAAGTGATTGTTTGTGGGGCGTTCTGTGCGCAACACACAAAAAAAAAACGAAAAACAATTGATGCCGAAGAGGAAGCAAAGGAGTCAGAAGCTGAAGGATTGCAAGGTGCAACACACGGCGGCAGCTGTGCCCGAGTCAAGCGAAATTGTGAATTCTGCTGCACATTTCATTTAGCCTGGCATTTAGCCAATTTACAAACTCTTCTTCTGGCGCTTTTTTGGCTGCATTTATTTTTTTTGGCTTTGTTTTTTTTTTACGTTCGTTTGGATTGCTGCGCTGATTGTTACAATTTTTGTGCAGCAGTTGCAATTTGTATTTTAAAGACATGCAATGCCCAAGAGGAGAAGCTGACCGCACAATGCTCTGCAAAATGGAAAAACTGAAATTTACAAAAGATAAAGTTGATGAAAAACGCAAAATCGAACTATAGCTTGATCTGAACTCAGAGCATAAATTATATTTCTATTTTCAGAATTTCAATGCCAACTGCAGTCAGTAAAACGTTTACTAAAAGCAAATTCAAATGGGGAAAAATATAAAAAAAAAAAATAAATAAATACTACATTCGAGTTTCATTTCAGGCCCGAAGCCACTACTTAAAGGCAGCTTTGCAAACAAACTCTTGACGCTGTCTGTAAAACGTTTATGAAACACACACAAGGTATATAGAAAAGTGTAGCTTAGTCTACGTATTTTTTTAATTGTGAAAATCAATTTTTTAAGAACTTTGCATATTCCAAGTAAGAAGTGTTGCCAGTAAAACGTTAACGAAAACTACGTCAAGTAGAAATCTATAAGAGGTAAGTAAATTATTAATCAAATACATTGCGCTCTGTGCACAAATATACATTTCTGCTATAGCCTGGCATGGCATGAAGCTTGCCTTCGGTTAGGGTATGAGCTGATGAGCTGCTGCAGTCAAGCGCTGGTCAAATGAAATAATTTTAACGTAATTTTAACAGCTGCTGGCAAAGAGGCAGCAACAGCAACAGCAACAGCAACTGCGATGCAAGAGACGCAAGCAGCAAATGAAATCATGTTCAAGGTCAGGCAATAACAAAAATGTACAAAGAAATTCATTGAACCGACGCGACTTTTGGCAACAACAAATTTTTAACAAATTGTGTGACAAACGCGACAATCGACCATCGACAATCGGCCCGAGACCCAATGACGATTGCAATTTTCGTTGTTTGTTAATTTTTATTTATTTTTTTTTTGTTTTGTTAAATACCTGGAACCCATTCCATTTGCCGTTGCCATTCCCGTTTGCCCACATGCTACATATACGTCCACACAAACAGTGACCGCAAATTAATTTCGTACAATTGAAGCGAACTTCGACCACGCCCTGCCGTTCTGAGGAGTGGGCGCTATCCTTGTCACGCTTGCGGTCAAAGGGGCCAGGACGAGACGGCCTCCGCTGCCATCGCCTCGCCCGCCAACCACAAAACTCACTTTGAGCTGTGACACGACAAAATGTCTCAAAACGAAAAGAGAAAGAAGTAGCAGGTAAGTAAGAGCGCCCTAGTGGGCAGTGCACGACTATTTGATACCCTATGCTCTGTATGTCTATATTGAACTCACTTGTTCTGTGTAAGGTATAAAGCAAGTATTATTGAAGTCTGTACAAGCTGGCATACTCAGAGGCGAGTGTGACCAACGTGATCAACTTATCTTATCGATATTCTGGTATAGTCTCAGCCTGTTATATACACATCCGTATACAATGGGTATACAAAGCCCCAGAACCAGCACAGCGGGACTGGCACCAAGCATACTATATATATGAGGCTTATAAGCTTGACGGGACGCTGCAGGCTGCAATGAGCTGGGGGTGGGCCAGAACGAGTGAGAGCGGGAGGCAGGGAAATGACTGCTTTGGCGTTTCATTAATCATATGACAAACGATTTTCTTTGTTCGCCAGGCAAAAGCTTTATGAAATTTATGCGATTTTAAACAACGGTCTGCAGGCAAAAGTCACACTGTTGCTCGCTCGCTCCCGCTACCCACTCGCCTCGCTCTCTCTCTCTCTCTCTGTCTCTTGCTTGGAGACTGACAAAATTCGAAGTTTGCTCAGATTTCAGTTGCAGCGCGCGACTGCATTAAGCTCGTTTTTTATAAGCAGCGACCACAACAACAACAAGGGACAAATGGTTCGCAATTTGAGAACTGTCCACTGATTCATGAAAGTCGAAAAAAAAACGAAGGAATAAATTAGCAGTCCAATGCGTGAAAGCAATTAAAAACCTTTGGCATCCATAAAAAATAAACCCCCAAACGAGTTGGCAAAGCTGCAACAAGAGCTGCCAACTTGTGGCAAATGCACAATGCGCAAGTGCAGAGAAAACATTTAAACACATTTTCTATAGACATCTCGTTATGATATACTATTCAGTTACTCAGCAGAATTTGCATATGAAGAACAAATCTTCAAAGTCTTCATGCAAGCTACCAGCTCTTGACCGCTTCCAATTATGATATAGTATTTCGGACCAATTTATTTGAAACATATAAACAAACTACAACAAACAAGTACGATATAGACTCTATTGACTCACCAGCTGATGCTGCTCGAGCATATTAAAGTGGACACGACACGACCCACCTCCGTGAGTCAGAGAAAGACACTGAAATATTGAATTTGTATAAGCTATAAAATTCCACTGAACAAACACTTGACTGCGTGTATAAAGGACTCAAGCTAGCGACACTTAAAGTAAGCTTTCCTTTGATCTGTATGCAAAATAGTTCTTGGCTGTAGACTATTAGAGAGATTATTGTGTATTAGATGAATGATCTAGTAAAACACAAACAGATACGTCTTCTCATCTATGTACCAGCTGTAGGTATGGATACTGAGAGAGAGATTGCAAAATGAGTACCGGATATCTTCTAGTTGATCACTTCAGACTATATTACTCTCATTTGTTTATGCGGAATAGAAAAGAAAAGAAGAACACATTTAAAGAAACTAAAATAGATTTGATTTGTGCTTTATGTGATGAACAAAATTAATTTTAATTTATCTTGAGCTTTATATGTATTTAATGCATCCTTAGCCATCTAAATTAGTTTTGGATTTATGCAAATTATGGCTAATAAAACTAAGAATGATATTATTAAATCTTAGTCCAAAAGCCCATTCAAGTTCTTGACAATCTTCTAGCTCGAAAGTTTGTTAAACACCTGCCTATGGCAGCGCGTTTGCTTTTCTTTTTTCAATTTGAAATTGCAAAAAGCATTGGACACGAATAAGAAGGATCTTAAGTTATGCTGGAAGGCAAGTTACTGCTGCAGCTTGTGCTACACGATGTTGCAGGCAGCATTTTGGTGGCATGCATAGCATCGCATCGCATCGCATCGCATGGCATAGCACGGCATTGCCTGGCCTGGCATGGCCTGGCATGGCGTGGCTTGGCATGGCATTTATGATTAGTTGTGCTTTTGTCAGCTGCTTGGGCCAACTTATTGCAAATTTTGCATGCAAGAATAATAATTGCATAAATATATATATGAGAAGAGCTTGAAGAGCAAAACAACAAATGCTAAAGTCGGGCCAGTCCATCAGCCAAATCCCAAACCAAAACTAAATCCAATGGCTTTCGCGGATTACAACATACTATATATATATATATTTATATATTTATATATAAATAATACCATGGGAGTAGACAGACAAACAGACTGCACTTGGAATGCTACACATAATTTTGCATAGTTTTATTGAAGAAGAATGCAGCGCCTGGCTGAGGGCCAAGTGGAGTGCTCGACATTTATATGCGCATCACTTAGGCTCGACTCTCCACACAATTCTTCAGTTTTCTATCCGCAAATTCCAAATTCTGAAAGAAAGAAAACAACAACAACAAAACAGCTGAGCGGAATTTATAAAAGCCAAACACTGTCGAGCACAACTTGTGAGAAAAATGGAAAAAAATATGAAGTAACAGCAGCAGCAGCAGCGGCAGCTGTAGCCCTAACCAATTCAACTAACCCTATAGACATATATATTTATATACTAGCAACCGAAAACCTTAGAATACCCTGTAACTAAAGCAAAGACTAAGAAGAGTATACCAATATGCCACAGTTCCAATATAGTAACAGCTGTTGCTCTTAGGCATATCCATAACCCATTGAGTATACATGCTACAGTCATCAAATTAGTTATAAAGCTTCCCAAATACCCATATGCCAGCAGAGACACCAAGTTCATTAGAAATATTCATTTATCTTTCGAGTTATATGCAAATCTTTTCAAGCTCATACAAGCTATAAGGTTCCAGCTATCCATATATAGAACATGATATCTCCATTGTTTACCAATTTACAGGGTATATCTCATTCGAAGCAAGCTCATTCAATCTAATTCATTCTGACAGCCTGAGTGAATTAGTTGGAATGCAACTGACTAACCAACTAACTAACTCTATATATGAAAAGAAGCAGCAGCAGAAGAAAAAACCCTCCACAGCTATAGCTATGACATAAGAAAATGCCCATTAAATGCAACATTTTCATGGCGTAATTGCAAAGAAGCAGCCAGCAGCAACAACAACGAGAACAGCGAGCGAGCGAAATTCAGCTGAGCGCAAAAACAAAAGCGGAAGCTTTGGCAATGATCATGCAAACTGCTCATTCATAGGATAATTATTCCATGAGTTCATCATGAATACCATATACACAGACACACACACATCAGCAATTATTGTTGTTGTTGTTGTTGTGGCACCTTTTGATGCATTCATTGCGCTATTCTCTACACCAAAGCCAATGTCGTGGGAGTCGCACCACACTAGCTACCACCCGCTGCTCCCTCCTTGAACCACACCTTTGCAGCCAACACCCCTTCTACCCAACGTGCCCCTCTGCTGCCCCTTCTCTATACCCCTTCAAGTGAATTGCATTGCATTTTTAATGTTTTCATCGCGTAAACTGCATAAATAATTAATATGAAGCAAATGCCGCGAATACAAAGATCAAAGATATGTATATGTATGTATGTCTCTATATATATATTTATATATATATATATATATATACATATTTCTAGAAAATCTAGAAAAGGGAATCTGTCGCATATGAAACTGTTGTGACACTAAATGTTCTATATACTTTACCTAGATGAGCCCCAAAACGTGCATACAATCCAGAGATAGAAAATGGTTTAGCTATAATAAGAAAGAGAGGAAAAGAAGAGAGAGACGAGAAAAGAAAAAGCTAGAGAAAAAGACAGATGAGAGCGAAGGACAGAGCAGAGAATAGGAGAGAGAAGAGAAAAAATACTAAAGGAGAGAAAAAAAACAGGGCAAGAGAAAAATAGTGAGAGAGAGAATACATAGAAACATAGAGAAAAAGAGACAGAAATACAAAGAAAAGAGAGGGAGAGAGAGAGCTAGCGAGCAAGAGAAAACAGAGAGGTATAATAAGAGAAAGAGAGAAAGGCATAATGAGAACAACGGAGAGAGACGAAAAGAGAGGAATGCAAATAGAGAGCGACACGGAACAGGAGTCAACGACAGATAAAGAGCAAAAGATACTTACACTCTGTGTATTTTGATGAATTTATTAAACTTATTAAATGTTCATTGATGTAAATTCATTGATACTCTTCGCTGAGGTCATCTGTAAGCCAAAACATTTCCTTTGGCAAGACTTTGCACACAGCCCAGCACATGGCAACAACATACAACGTTTATAGGGGGGAAAGTATAGGGTATATGTCTAACTAAGCCCATATATGCATACATGTGGTGTAATGAGCGCTTGATGCATTCAATAAGCATTTCATGACACAGATTTTCAATTAGAGAATTGAACAGCGAATTGCATTGTTTTGAATTTGATGGCCCTGCCCTGGGTTACTACTTGACTTACTCATAAGCAGCAGACAGAGACAAAGATCGAGAGATAGAGAGAAAGTATGTGAGAGTGAGGCAGAGAGAGAGAGAGACAGAGGCGACTCCTACGCCACACACATGCTCAACCAGTTTCTGTGTATATCCCAAAGTAAATAAAGCCAAAAATAAAATTCTTTGACAATGACAATGACTGAGTGGTCCACATACTTAACTTCCAATATTGTGTACAGATATATATATATACATATATATATATATGTATATGTATTTGCACAGTGAATTATGCGCGACTAACTTGCATATATTTATATAGTATATGAAAGGTATTTATAACTCTCGGTTCTGTTTTTTTTTTTATTTTTTTTGGTACGTGTTTGCGTCTTCCTTTCGCTGAAAACGGTAAAAAAGTAAATTTGATTCAATAGCAACAACAAAAGCATTCGTTTGTTTAATGTTATTGCTGTTCTTGTTGTTGATGTTGTTGTTATTGCTGTTTACTCGCTTTTTATGGCTTGCCTTTTTTTGTTTTAATTTTTGTTTTTGTTTTTGCTTTTGCTTTGCTTTAGCTTTAGCTTCTGTTGTTGTACAAAATTCTGCGAATTTTTATTGACAAATTTCATTAGAACTTGTACTTTATGTGCTGCCGC